TTTGATTTACGATAATTACGTTTTTATTCTTTCTTTTATGGACTTCAACAACTAGTTTAAGCTATTTGAGTCAAACAATTTAACGTTTTTAGATCGAGTAAAATTAAAGTTTTGCACGCGCATCATAATCTACTCCTTTTCCGCAACATTCTACTATGAACTTATATTTGTTTCTTGCCACATAAATTAGGAAAAAATAGTAGAAACAAGAAACTCTATTTATGGTATAAATGTCTTCTCGACTTTAAGTCATTTGATATGTTAAATAAATCTAAATTAAACTCCTAAGTCTCCCATTGGTATGTCGGTTTCCCCGACTGTAGACATTTGTTGTGTTAAATATCTGATTTTAATTTTTGTTAGGAGCATGTTTAATTGAAATTTTAATTCAATTAATATCAATTTTTGACCGTTATTTCACTATTTCAACCGTCATTTTTGAATTCTTCTCTCACGAGTAAAACTCACTTTATCTCTAACGATCAAAAAATCAATTAACAAAATTCCTACCAAACAAACACTAAATTGCATACCACTGTATCTACACGGACAGCTCCTAGACATATTCAAAGTTCCACAGTAGGACGTGTGGGCGAAGGAAAATGTTCGTCAAATTTTATTAAACCATGTTGAAAAATAATAGGGCTGACCAAAGATCGGAGATTTGTACAGGAATGAAGCGGCAGATTTTGATTGGCAATTTTTCCTTTAAATTTTTTTTAACCACCAATGAAAAATTACCAGCTGTATTTGTGCATAAATCCCAGTCATCGCAGAACTGTGTTGAAACATACCCTCCAACCACCTCCATTATTGTACACATTGGAAGGCGGCTTTGGACCATTCTTTTACCTCTTACGCCTTTTCAACATAAGAAAAACACAGCCCAACTTCGAGCCTTTTCCACACGCCAATGGCCACCACCACCACCACTGTTTTCCCCCTCCTCCTCCTCCTCCTGCTATCCGCCGCTGCCGCCTCACCGTCACCATACCTCTCCCCCACCACCCTTTTCCAGAACTACCAAAACATGCTAACTAACTTCAAAATTTTCATTTACACCCCAGCTAAACCATTTACTTTCCAAAATCCAGTTGCATCTCTCTTTTACAATTCCCTCCTCAAAAGCCCCTTCAACACTCAAGACCCCAACGAAGCTCACCTCTTCTTCGCACCCTTTTCTGCCGACACCTCCACGCGGTCTCTTGGGCGTCTTGTCAGGAACTTCAGAGTCAAACATCCTTATTGGAATCGCACACTCGGTGCTGATCATTTCTTCCTATCACCCGCGGGTATTGATTATTCATCCGACCGGAATGTTCTTGAACTGAAGAAAAATTCTGTGCAGATTTCTGTTTTCCCTGTTATCTCCGGTAACTTTATCCCGCATAAGGACATCACTTTACCTCCACTAAACCCATCCGCTAGCGTCATCTCCGCCGCACCGGAGAATGCATCAACGATGTCGTTTCTTGGTTACTTAAAATGGGATGGAGAAACTGAGTCAAATTTCGCGGAAGAATTGAAGAAAGATGCTGATTTCTTGGTTGATATAGAAAGAGATTCTTTAGATCAGGTGGGGAATATCAAAACCAGTAAATTCTGCTTGCTTTTTTACGGCGGCGACGTGGCATGGATGGTGGAGGCGATGGCTCTCGGTTGCGTGCCGGTGGTGATCGTAGACCGTCCGATTCAGGACTTGCCATTGATGGATGTTTTGAGGTGGTCCGATTTGAGTTTGCTGTTGTCCACACGCGGCGGCGCTAAGCGGCTGAAGGAAGTGTTGAATAGTGTGAGCGAGGAAAAGTACGGCGGTATGAAAAGAATGGCCTCAGCAGCTAGTGAGCATTTGGTGTGGAATGAGGAGCCTCAGCCGTTGGATGCGTTTCATATGGTGATTTATCAGCTGTGGCTTAGAAGGCATACGATTAGATACGCCCGGAGGGAGTCAGTTTAGACTTTTAAATGGAGTATAATGTCGTTATGAAAATATGAATAAATAATTTTGTAATTAATATTCGAGAAAATATGTAAAATTCTATTTTTTTCGCATTTCTTTTACTTTTGGTTCAATCTCTTAATAATTCACGCAATTATAGAATTAAAAAATAATTAATCAGCTGAATGAATCAGATATTTTCCTGTATCTACATTATACACAGTCTTAAGTCAAATCCGTGCCTATACAAATTCAAATGACACCAAAAAAAAAAAAAAACATCTTCGATTTGCCCTTTTACTCAAGGTAATTGCTAAACCTAAAATACATAAATAAACACTGCTCTTAACTACATAGTTCTTAGTTTCAATGTCAAGTTACATAACTCACCCGCAAGACAAACTTTAGGCGAGTACTCAAGTGGTTATAATCGCACGAGTTATGACTTAAACATTGAAATGTAAGAAGCAATTAGAATCATTAAATCCATACCAGCCAAGTGACTTGACAAAACCACTCATTGCGATGTCTGCAACACGGATATATTCCAAAAGCATATTTGCTAAACTGCAATTATATTGAAACTCACTTCAAATGGACCAAGACGAGGGAGTGTATGCAAAAGTACACTAGATTCCTTTTGCTTCTGTTAAAAAGCCAACGTATGATTGTGAATGAGAAATATAGAGAAGCAGTCGGATAAATGAGAACCTTGACGATAGGGAATCCCAACAATCACAGTAATTGCCGGAGCTGTTGTGTTTCCTTTCTAAGAGATTGAATTTCTTTCATAATCTCAGCCTGATTTTCCAGGATCAATTTCATGACACCTGAACTTTCCATCTGCACAATAATGTCAAAAATTAGGGGAGAATGGTGAAGAGGACTGAAGAAGAAAATTGCCGAGCATGTACCTCCTGCATATGGAATTGTCTTAAAATTTCTATGTGGAGGTTTCGCATGTCTTCATGCATAGATTTCTGAAACGAACCAAGACCTTCTTCAAGAGTGTGCTGGAAAAGCTGAAGTGTAAACGAGTTTTCATGTTTAGAATCCGGATGCAATGTAGTTTCCTGCACTTGTGTCGCTCCACCCTGCACAAGATTACAGGAAATTTAAGAAGAATTGATCAGGAATTAGCAGTCAGGGATTTACAGCGATTGATCGTGAAGAACATTTCACCAGCCTGCATCCACATGTTCAATGCAAAATTCCTTCAGGAATGAATTATGGTGAACACACTAGATGATGTATCATTACAACGAAATAGTTGTTGCTGCCAAAATTAAAAACAGCGAGAATACAGCTTCTGATGTTGCATACATTTCGAGCTGGAAGAACACTACTTGATGCAGATGACACATTGGACCGTGACAACAAGCTATTCGAAATTTCTTCCCTCATTTCTGCTCCAGTTTCATTAGTTTTGGGTGATCCCGTTGAAAGATCATCGAAGGATGTTGTAGCACCTATTCTCTCAGCATAACTGGAAAATCTTCGAGGAAAGGACAAAGGTGGACCAAGAGAATCAAGTTTACTAGGCACTGTTACGCCTGTTGTACCTAGGTAAGAGGAAACATGTTCAGACGATTCTGGTGAAGTTTCCTGGACACACAAATTGACCAGGATCAGGCTTGATATTAGGGGGCTTGAACTCTTACTTGTAGGGTGAGGAGTATCTTGTAATCCAGACAACATTGATCCTGACGATAAACTACCCGAAGTCAATGTCGGGTAACGAGAAGACATGTTAACTGATTGACGGAAGTGCATCAATTTCTCTGATAATCGCTCGCCACCCCAAGCCTCTGGTGGAGTAATGGAAGAAGTGATGTCACCAAGTGTAGATGCCTGAGTGGATGTCAACTGGGAGAAGGTAGAAGGGATGTCACCCTGCATGAGATGAAACTATATGAAAATGTGTTGCACGGAAGTTCGAAACCACCATTCAGTATTATAGCAACATTGAAGTAGTTAACTATTTTATGCAATCATTAGTTATTCACAACAAAGTATCCTTTTCTATAACAAGGGGCAGATAAGGAAATAAAAGTTCTAGGTTGCTGACATTGCACTTTTGCTAAAGAGTAATATTCAGGCAGCACGGCTTCACATGTTTCTAGGCTAAAATTTTACAAGTACTTTTTTACATTATTCACGTGGAGATGCTCCACATAAGAGCCTCTTTTCAGAAAGCTGATTTAAGTTTCCAAGATTGTCTCTATAGACTTAGTTATACTGAGATATTATGGAAGGTATTGTGCTTTATGCCTTTATAAATTACTAGTTTCTAGAATGTTTGAACAAAAAGTAAATTATGAATTGCAGCTAGAAGAGCATAGAACTGGGAGTTCTAACCTTTTATTGGAGGAATATAGAATCTCAATATTTACATAATCTATATCAAGCAACAAATATAAATTATACAACATTGAAGCACTGATTAAAAAAGAAGAAAAATGCTGAAATAGGTAAATAGCAAACCTGTTTGGTTGTTGAAGAAGTTTTCCAGGCCTCTGAAACAGCAAAACTCCCAGAAGGGAACGAATTAGATGAGTTGTAATCAAAATCTTTCTTTGAACCCTTGCTACCATCCCACATCAGATCAAATGAATGAGTATTTGGTTGAACTTCCAATAGTGGAGAAAATATCTCCATGTCATCCTTCAAGTTATATCTACGAGGTGCAAGCAATCTTCCCAGTGATCCACTTGTCAGTGAGCTGCTTCGAAGAGGTGTTTCTGCTGCAGCAGATAAACTGAGTGCTTGGTGTAGCCGCAAAATTACCAACTGAAAAAGAAAATATATTTGCAGAACCTGAATGACTAGAATTTTGAGATCCAGACACTGCACTAGACATTGAAAAGCTTGATGATGCCATTGAAGGAAGTGGGTCAGGCATGAGAATTGAGTCCCCAACATCACCTGCCATAAGAACAGTTTCATCTGTACAGCTAGCTTCATTGACGGTCACAGCTTTTGATCTCTGCCAGCATAGACTTGTGATTGCCTGATGAAGATCAAATCATTATTTATGCGAACCAATGAAGTCGATCAAAAATTTTGTGAAGCGGTTATAGTAATACCAAAAGAGATGAAAAATGACCTCAACCTTTGAATGGATCTGATAAACAGAAAAATGGACTGATACACACATCAAAGAGATTGATCATTTGCAATGCCTACTTAGTGAACAATCTTATTGACCGCACAATAAAGAATTATTTTTTTAAATGGTGGGTAAGAAATCTCACAGGGGGTTATTTTTCATTAAAGAAAAAGGAGAGGAACATATTTTGGACAATGAGAAGAAGAACTCAAATCCTCAGGATGCAGAGCTGAATGAATTGCAAAGTTCTAACATCTTTCATTACTTAAGAAATTACTTCCGTTTCAGACACTAAAACAAAAAGTAGATCTCTCACTGAGTTTGAGAATACCACCAAGTACAAAACGACCATGCAACAGAAACTAAGGCCCTGTTCTCTTTACCGTTTTCAGGCCGTTTTCTGTTTTCGATTTTTCAAAACGGTGAAAACGTGTTCTCTTTCCCGTTTTCGAAAACGAATTTTCGAAAACGAAAAAAAAAATTTGTGAAGAAAACACAAAACGACTTTTTTGTCGTTTTGGGCGTTTTCAGTGTAAAACTTGAAAAAATTGAAAACGCGGGAAACACCCCCTTTTTTTTTTTGTGGTGTTGTGGTGATTCTCAAAATTTAAAAAAAAAAATAATTCATTTTTTTTTTGAACGAATTTTCAACAATTTCAAAACAAACACTCAAAACACAAAATTCAAAATGAATTCAAAATTCAAAACACAAAACTGAAACACAAAGAAAATACCCCCTAAATGTTTACTTTTCCAATATTAAGATGTCCCCAGATGTTAAACAAAATTCTTAAAAACTGGGAATGAATCAACTATGACGCTGAGAGAGGGAATCACCTCAGAGTTGCCATAGGCATGAAGAACCGTAATTGGTTGTGGCTTCCCCCTAACGTCGTAAAATGCAACCTGACCAGTGCTTGTACCAGCTGCCAGGGTTAATCCGTCATCAGTGAATGCCAGTGAAGAAAATGGTGCTTCATAAGTAATGCAAGAAGATGGCTTCCTAGACCCCGAGTCAAAAGTATACAACTTCATATCCAGACCAACGCTAGCAATAATCTGCCAAAGTTCCATGAGAGTCATAAGATAAGAAAATGATACCTGGGATTTGACTTCAGTGAGGAGTTATATCTATGGATATAAATGGAGGCAAAGAATGTACAAAATATTCAAGCCAGTGTATTAAAGAAGAGACCTTGTCATTTGATGGCGAAAAACAAACACCAGAAGTTGGCGCAGAATGCTGCCTTAGCCAAGAAACCTGCCAAACGTGAAAGGAATGTTACAGTATAGACAGCAAAAAACTTGGACTACTACTTATATTGTCATTGAAGAAAAAAGAGTGCAGATAACGTCAACACTAATATATATGGTGGGTAATATGTTGTCATCCTAAGAAGCACGGATACAGATAAGTAATTCGAACACGATACAATATCGGTATGTTGATATTGCTTTTTAAAAAAATTAGGATACTTGTTATAAAATTTAACATAATTTTATTAGTATAAAAAATTAAAACAAAAGCATAACAACATAAAATACTAAAATATTTTATCTTAATCCTTGATTATCCCAACTTCATTTTCTTCAACATCAGCTTCTTCATTATCATTAAAAATAATACATTCCAAAACTGGCTCATCTAATGATAGATTAACAACATCAAGCAGTCCAACAACTTCCAGAATATCAAACAAATCTTCGACAATGTCGTACTTCTTGGATTCTCCTTTTGAATAGACATTTAACTTTTTGATAAAAGACGCAGATTGTTATGAATGAAAATCAATTCTTTAGTTTCTTGTGGAGTTATTACTTCTTATGGAGTGTACAAAAGAATATATACTCCGATTATTTAATACTAGTTATCATCTATTTTCAGCAACAAACTTATATTTTTCAATTG